GAGTCGTTGGTGTGTTCAGATGCTATAGATAGGGATAAAAGCAGGAGGGCCGCTCTGAGTTCTCTGGCTTTTTGCATAACTTATAAATCGATGACGTTGGCAGGCGAGAGCGCATCTCGAGTTGGGACATTTGCATAATAAGGCAGAACCAGCAGCAGCAGCAGCACCACCACCACCACCACGGCAATGCATGCGGCATGATGTGATTCAGTGGCGGGGATTTCCCTTCGACTGCTGTGCAGATGTGTGAGATGTACTACCACACCGAGTGTTTTGGATTCTGTGTCAAAATGGCGCAGAAAAATGCTCGAGTGGAGCTGCTGACTGCAGAGCGCCAAAGTGGAATGAATTTGACACGTCGAAGCTGAGATATGTCAGAGCCCCGCAACACACACATTTTGTGAGCCACTTCATAGGATTTTCTCGGTGGGTGTAAGTGGTGTCCTGGTTAAAAATCCTTTCCATGTTAGTTGGGGAATTATGCTTGGAAATTTTGTGCCAGAAAAAATTAGACATTTCGTGCGACATTTATTCGTTTTGCATAAGAAAAAAGGTGCCAAGCTGCTGTTCGTTGAGTGTAAATATAGTTTTTTTATATTTAATCTTTTATTTATATTTTAAGCTTATGAAAATATTCATTTAACAAACTGCATTTGTTAGTGCTTTATGTTTTTTCTTTGCTATTATCTTTTCGCTCCTCTAAATTTTTTGTGGAATATCTGCATATCATCTGGATATATTCGCTATAACTTTATTTTCGTGCATAGATATTTGGACAGAGCCCTAGGGTTTTTTCCATTTCCTTTCTATATATGGGTAACTGTATACATTAAGTCATAACTTCATTTGGCTGCCATGGGGCATTCATTTAGTTTATGTTTGTGCAACTCGCGTATCTCTCGCCCGCTCTCTTCATCTCGATAAATTCATTTGGGTCTTGTTAGGGAACGCCTGCCCGGTCGAAGGTTCCGAACCGACGGCACACCACTGGCTAATCTTGTTGCGCATTGCCATAATTTTCAATTTACATGCACCCAGTGAGTTCCACCCACTCCACGCCGGCTTGCCCACCCGCCTCCCACTCTGTCGGAACGGGAGCTATTCCGGCTATCCGAGTCTGTCCGGGCGTTATATTGGTCACAATAAATTGACTGCAATGGCCCCGACCGTGTGTCTGTCTTAAATCGGGTGTGAGGGCAGGTGCACTGGAAAAAAAGAAGGAAAATAGCTGGAAATAGAACAAATATCTATAGCCAGTTTATAATTTTCCATTCCAAATTATTTTTTTTGGCTTGGTGTAAGAAATGACTTTTCTTTTCTTATCAAACTGATTAAAATGGTTTCTTATCAACATATACATACTACATAAAGAAACTTATCTAAATAATTATTTATGAATATATGTATACATACATTCTTGATGCCTTAAAAATGTATTGGTCTAATTATTTTTTTCTAACACAACTAACAGACCTTCTTGTTTTTACGCTAGCTTTGTGGTCTCACAAAATTCAAATTGGGGAATTTCTGGAGACAATAAAAAGTCCTAAAATGTTTTTATAAAATGTGTTTCCTTAAGATGACAATATTTAGTCTCAATAATATATAAAATATATTTTATATAATTGTATTAAAACCTCTGTATTTTTTCTGTGCAATTTTCAAGCATGGCCGTCGTCGGCCTTCGCTTCCATTCGCTTGATTATGGCCTGCAGTCCTCCATCGTCCTGCTGCCGGTTGCCTGCTCCCTGCCATTACACTGCAGTTGCATTAGGCGCCATCGAGGCGCTGGCAAAGTGCAACATTTCGATGGGCGCCATCATCGTGGGCAGCGCGCATCCTTTGTCCTCCATTCCGGCGTGCCTAATCATTGACACATTCATTGATGCATCCGAGCGCATTCTGGCATATTTACGAGCTGTCCTAATTGTCCGCAAGCAGATGCATGGCGCGTTCCATAGGCATTGCCCTTGCAATTAGAGCCTTAGTCCTGATGGTTAGTTAGTAGCTTTTAGTGTTTTATAATCTTGAAAATTTTGAACATTAACATATAAGCTTCGTAAAACTAGTTTTAAAGCCTTAACAAATAAGTAATTAATTTAAAATCATGTCAGGTTCTTTGAAAATTCGTAAAACTAAATAAATTTCGCGAATCGTTTCTCCACCAGTGAGTTTTTAAGCCTCTCGGCAGATAAGTCTTGGTGCACTTTACCACAACAAACAAAGCCAAGATTTAGCAACAGCAAAGAAGCCAGGCAACAGCAGTGAAAAACGAAGGATCCCAGCACGCAGGACCAAAAGCAAAAGGAGCCAAGCCTTTGGTCCCCCGTAAGCAGTAAACTTTTTCACATGCCCTGCCCCTCATACGCTCATAAAGTCAGTCTGAAAACTAATTTGAAAGAACATTGAAAATCCCTTAAAATTGCAGTAACATTTACAAGCATAAAAAGTTTCTGAGATAGTGAAAAATTTGAGAAGAATTCATTTTAATCTTTAAAACATTTGGAATACTAAGATCAAGAAAATTGATATTAAACCATATATTGATTATTGGCTTTGAAGGTTTCATTATACTTTTTGTTTAATTATAAACTATTTCTAACTTCATAATTCCTAATTACCCATATTAGCTGACATTTTATGGTTTTCCTAATCATTTATTTGTTTTTTTTTTTTCTGAAGCTAAACTAAAGTTCAAAAACTAAAACTATAAACGCAAATTGTAGAGCTTCTTGCCAACTCTCTCGCACTTTCGAATGGCTCCCCAGTGGGTGGCAGTGTGTGTGTGGGGGTTAACCCCTGTGATCTCTCCTTCTTCGAGCTCAGATAACCAGACTCCCCTTTCCCCCCTCTAGTCGGGCTGTGGCAACTGTGCAACTTGTGTGCTGCGCATTTCAACTTAACTGAATTATTAGCCGACTTGTGTGAATTATGATCTCTTAGTGCTGATACACCAGGCCACACACGGCAACGCTTCGTATCCTTCCGCTCCTGCGGAGCCCTCCATCCTGAGTCCCCTCTCTCCCCTCTGTGTACCCCAAAAGCTTTCGAAATGCACACCCCTTGTGTTGCACTCTCAGCCACTTTCGTTAATGCATTTGCCCAGTGGCCATGTGGGATTCTTGTTGCTTCTGCTGCTCAGGCAATTTTCCAAAAACAATAAGAGAAGCTGCAAATACGCACACACTTACGTATAAGCACTGTCAGAAAGAAAAGGGAAGTATAAAAAACTTGAAACTTTTTAATGAATAAAATTAATTAAAAATTTTAAGGTTTATTTCAAACTGCAAGGGAAGAAGTATCTTGGATGATTACTCGTAAAATCCTTTCTCTATATTTGAAACAAAATTCCTGCAAATCCTATCCCATTTTTTCGGTGCATTTTCAGTAAAGTAGAGTTGAAATTTCAATTGTTGACTGCTCACCTTACAGCCGCAAACTCACAGGGAGTTCAGATACAAAAGTTTGAGACGAAAACTACTAGCTTTTTTAAGCTCAAGATGCAGCTCCTTTCCGTCCTGGGCCTATGGCTTCTCATATTTTCAAGCTAATGTTATTGGCCCTTGCTGTTATGCTGCTGTGGCATTGCAGGCAATGTAGATCCCCAAGGATCTGGTATACACATAATCCGCTGCATTCTCCTTGCCGTATAAGTCATAAAATAAAATGAACAAGAAAATGTAGTTTAGGAAGACCAAATCGAAAATACTCTTGGTTATGCTGGATTTTAAAGTAATAAACTTTAAGTTTAATTTTCTAACTCTTAAAAGAAATTTAATTTCGTTAAAGAACATCCTTTAAATCATTATTAAATTATTTGTATCTAGGCTGAAAAAGGGCTTTATTTTGTGATTTAAATTCTTTATTTTCCCTGTCAGGGTTTAGAGTCTTTAAGTTGTTTTTTGGAAAAACTATTTATGCCTTGGCATGCTCCTCGAATATCTCTGGGAAAACCCACAGACTAGCTGCGAGGGCATCTCCACACTGGCAAAGGCTTTTAGGCCCAGACGAACTTTACTTAACCCCGACCTCGATTGTCCGGCCGAGCCTTCCCCGGGTCGCCGACTATTCTCCAGTTGGTTGAAAATGATTTATGACGCTGGTCTGAGGGATTAGCATATGAATCCAAACAAAGCTGCTTGTTCTTGCCGGATCCTTTGCCTCCACCTCCACCCTTATCCCTTATCCTTGCCCCTCTCCTACTCTTGATGCTGCTGCTGCTCCGACTAAGCCAGTTTCCGTTTTGTTTGCTTAGGCTGGAAAATGGACAAGATTTTGGCTAAAATCGAACCGGAAATGGCTTAAGCAAACTCCCATAAATGTGTGTGTGTGTCTAAAGCTGTGTGTCTGTGTATGCGTGCGTGTTGGGACAGGACCTGCAGTATGCGTAATTAACCTTTGACACGGCAGGTTGGTCCTGTCCTGCCCTTCTGCTTCGCCGTCGCCATCGCCGTCTCCGGCATATTCATATTTCACTTACCGTTTTGGCAATTAGTCCACTGCAGGTGTGTGCCAAAGGGTCAGGGGGGGGCCAGCAGCGCCAATTGATCTCCGGAACCCCGAGAACTTGGCTCCGATTCTCTCTGTAATTATGTTTTCTTTAATCTGTGCTCCAAGCTCCATCTGCCATCTGCCTGTCCGCCTGGGAATGTGTCCAGCATAATCTCTCACTAAGCAGATGCAAAGTAATATTTGGGGCTTTTCAAAGGTAATTTAAAGATAACTATATCTAGGTAGCCTCTAAGGGGCTCTGTGTGTGCATTAGACATGTTAAGCTATATGGGATTGACCTGAATATCCTGTAAAAGGGATTAGTCCTTGGTAAATAGCATTGAACTTAAGATTCTCCCAGAGACTGTGTCAGCTTTTACATAATAATTATTGAAAAAAAACCTAATCATATTTGTATTATGGTTTGGGTCTGAATTATCTGTTTTTAATGCTTAAAAAAGAAAACTATTAAAAAATAGGGGATATCGGAGATGGGGGCCAGTGCCTAATCAATGGTGTCCATGGTCGTGTTCGCTGCTCTGCTTGTGGGACTTGTGCCACTTCTTCTTGTGCTCCTCGCCGCCCTTCTTGCCTTGCTCCTTCTTCTGGCCCCACTTCTTGGCCTCCTCGTGCTTCTTCTTATGACCCTTGTGACCCTTCTTCTTGTGTCCCTTCTTGCTGTGACCCTTCTTGCCGTAGTGCTCCTCGTGATCGCCCTTCTTGTGACCGCCCTTCTTGAAGCTGCTGCCCTTCTTATGCTTCTTGCCCTCTTCGAAGCCGCCGTGTTTCTCCTCGCCACCCTCGTCGTGATCCTCGTCGTAGAATTTCTTCTCCTTCTTGTTTTCGTCTAGCTTGTGCACATGATGCTTGCCCTTGATGGAATGGCCTTTTTTGTAGGAGCCGTGATCCTCGAATTCACTGCCCTTTTCGCCCTTTGAGCCTTTCTTCTTCTTTTTGTGATGAGCCTCAGAGTGTTTGTGCTTCTTCTCGTGGCCCTCTTCCTCGCCATGCTCGCCCTTCTTGCCCTCTTTGTCGTGGTGACCCTTCTCGCCTTTTTCCGAGTGCTCCTCGTGCTTGTGGCCCTTCTTGCCTTTGCCACCATGCTTTTTGAAATGCTCGCTATGATGCTCCTCTCCGGACTCCTCCTCGCCGCCCTCCGAGTGCTCGTCGTGTTTGGAGGCGGCCACCAGCTGATCGGCTTCCTGGAATATCGGTAAGGTATGAACTTAAATTATATATTTTTTTCAGGCATTTTTGATTTTTTTCTTAAACACTTTAAAACATTTTTATGCAAATGGTCTGGTTCTTTTACCTGTTCCTCCTTCTGAACGTAATACGGCTGAAAATCCTCAAAGTTCTGGCCAAGCAACAGTGAGCTTATGGCCATGGCCCTGTCCGGCGTCGAGTGGAGACCCAAAGCCCCGGCCAGAAGCCCCAGCAGCGTTATCACTTGCCACGTTGGCCACATGGCCGCGATGCTACTGCAGCTGGTCTCGTGCTTCGACTGAAATCCTGGCTACTCCTGGCTCCTCTGCGCTATCTCTCAGCTTCGTCTCGGTAATCTCTGGAATTTCTAGTGCGGTTGCCACGCCCGCTTGTCGTCGTCTACTGGGCTCGCCTCGAGGCGCCGAAGCCTTTTATCCACGCTCTCCTCGCCCTTCGCCAGCTTGGACTCCAGTTTGTGGCTGATTTGCCAACTTTGCCGACCATTTTTTGCCCAACTCTATACTAAATTTTCGTCTCGGTGTATTGCATTTGGTAAGAGGTAAGTGGAGACTTCGGGGATTATGATGAATGGCAAGATTTGAAATGACATTTTTATATATATAAACCTATAAAAGACCACTTATTTAAAGACAGTTGTGTTCAAATTGTAAGTAATCCATAAAGGAGTACTATTTAGGTCTTGAAAATATAAAACAAGTTTCTTTTTAATATATAAAAAAGTCATTTAAGGTATCTGTTAGTCGCAGTATACCTTCAATCCATTCTTCCTCTTTTCCTTTTCTATATTTGGTTTTTGTTCGGTTGTTTTTCCCATGTTTCTTTCGACTCTAAGTGCATTACGTTGTCCCAAACTGCAAAAAACCCTTCGAACTGGCCAACTTCTTGCGGTTTTGGGAGGTCTTTCTTGCCACTGACTATTGCTGTTGGCCAAAAACTAGCGACTTTTGTTATGCTGCACATTGCAAAATGGCAAAACCGAATCGAATTTCGCAGAGCAAATGATGACCAGACCCGAAGTACCGACGACGCTAGTGGCACAGTGGGCCATGTTGACTTCCGATTGGTCAAATTCGGGGACAGTCGCATGATGGATTCGCTTCAAGACAATCCCCTTGACTACCCCCGCTCAATTAGCCATCAATCATGAGGATTGCCGTTTGCTTGTTTGATTTTCAACTTAATTAATAATTTATTGACCACTTGTAAGTGTCTTGTATGCGGTTGATTGATAACAACCGAGGGGATTTGGCCACAACAGCGGTCGAGAGATAAGAAATGGGGCTATGGGGGGCGCAATAGAGAACCAGCAGATATGTCAAAATATATTTGGATTCTATGGGTTTCTAAGATGATATGTGTATGTTATATGATATATGTGCTTTTGTTTAAATAAATGTAACATTTATTTATTGTGTTAAATTGGGAATAGAAGATATATACTTAATTGCACTTAATTAAATTTACATTTATCTTATTTTAATCTATTTTTGTTTTGCATTTCACTTGTTCAATTATCATATGGCCAGTGTCTTCTCCAATTAAGTTCCTTAACATTTATTTTCCCCTGCTTAAGCTTCATTAGCTTACCTCTCTCACCTTATAGTAACTCCTTCCCTTCAGCCCACATCATCACCTCAGAAGTTGAAGCCCTTAACCCTCATCAACCTCTCTGTTGTTTACCTTTCTCCCCAAAGGACTCCACCGAGTTATCGCTTAATTTTTGGTTACCCAAATCATGGGGCTTCATTATCTTTATAGAGTATTTTATATTTAGTGCTTTTTAATTAATTTGTATATAATTTTAAATCTTACTTTAACGTTTAATAATTTGTACCTACCTATTCAGCCTATTATAAATATTTATTGAAAATAAATTTGATGAAGACTTACGATATATATACCAAAAATTGTTTTCATTTAAAAATGAAAACATTAATGTTATTTTCTTCTGGTCTTTATTGGTTGACCTAGTTTTTGGAGTACTTAACTGCCTTCCTCTGGAGCATTTTCCTGGAGTTATGCCCCTGATCGCTCCTCAAGTCACGTGGACACCTTATCGTATTTATGCGCCCGATGCGTCGCTATAAAGTTGCCGAGTTGCGTTATAAATACACGTCTTAAAGATATTTTTGTAGCCCCCAATTTGCGCAGCTTTTTATCCTTTTTTCCTTTTCACCGCCGACTCTGTTTATCCGTGGCCTTTTGGCCATTTCTCTTGGCCATTCCGGTGCCATCTTTGGGGCCGAACCTGGTCACAGGAAATGCATTTTAAATGTCGGCGGCGGCATAAATAAAGCGTTAATGTTGCGGGGCGGCGAATGCAGGACGAATTGGAGGACGATGCGTTGGCTTGCCGTGCCGTGCCTTTTGCCTTAATTTATGAGCCGCGGCAACAAGGACAAACGAGGAATTTCATTCGATTTCGCATTTCGATTCCATTCGATTCGATTTGGGCAAAAATTCCGTTTCCGTTTCTGTTCCTCCGCCGCTGGCGCCGTGGCAAAAGTTTGACAGCCACTTGGCACCTTCGGAACTTTTTCTAGCCATTCCCATTTCCAATCCCAATCCCAATCCCATCCAGCTTTTTGCGCCACTCCACTCCACTCCACTTGAATGCTCCAAACTGTCCCCAGTTCCCCGGCTGCTTTCGCATTCACACAAAGTTCAGTAGTTGGCCAAAAGTCACTTGGCATGCATATAAATTGTCAGCCATTAAATTTGCATTGACATTTTGGCCGTGTTTTTTAACCCGCTGCCACCCAGCGACGGCATGCGGACCCCGAGAACCCCCCTTCGAAAAAAACCTATGGAGAACCCCTCCGGATTTAGCCGGGTGATTTATCTATGCACTCTTTGATTGCATGGAGCTGCGAGCATTGAGGGCAAATTCTCGACGACTCGACGAGTTTTGTTTGCCATGTTTTGGTGCTTGTTTTTATTGAATTTCCTGAATTAATTTGCCAACATCAGGCAGAACATATACAGCTAAAAAAATATATATATAGAAACTACAAAAAAAAGTTTACGAAAATAACGATGTGGTTAATACCCTAAAAGATTTGAAGAGAATGAGTCCCTAATAAATATTTGATGTGTTTTAATTACTATAAAATGTAAATAGATCTATTTAAACATAATTAAAATTATTTTAATAATTCTGAGATGCCTATAAATCAATTAAATAATTTTTTATAATACCTCAGATTCACTTTTGTTAATTTATTATTATTAAAATTTACACATGAATATTTGTTCCTTCTGAATTATATATATTGTAGTCCCACTTTTCAGAAAATCTTTCTTTTAACTTATTGTTCTTCTATTATTATACTTTTTTAATTTATAAATAAATCTGTATCTGAATAATAAATACTCACTCAGAAAGTGTACCCTAAAACTATACGATCTAAAGAATGCGAAAAAAGTCACTAGCTGAACAAGAAAAAAAGTCTGTGGAACGTTGATTAAACTTGGCTTGGCATTGACATGAGCCGAGGAGTTGCATCCACTCCACAGATTCAATCTCGGTCCGGATATCTTTTCAGGTTGGCCGGCAATTAGCCTAATACCCAAGGACCTCGTGGCATACTGGTTTGGCTTTTAGCCTTATTGAGTCAAGCCAGCAGAGTCATCTGCCCCATGTGTCCCCCAATCATAATCAAAAAAGGTCCTCCTAGCCGCGCCCACCACTCGTATTTCAAGAAGGGGGTTCTTTTTTCCGTAGGATTTATGTAATCACAGAATTTGGGAGGGAAAGCCTGAGGTTGGTTAATGGGCATTGAGCAAAGGCTTAATTGTGAGGCATGCAAGGAGTGTGGGTTTTCCCATGAAAAGAAATCTCGACTTATTCTCGGAGCTAATCAATTCATTTGCCAGGATATTTCTTGGTAATTCATTTGCCTGAGAACCAAAAACTTGTGTCCTCATTTGGTTTACGCTTTTTGTGGTGACTTTTGCTTAAAGATGAGCTTGGAAATGTTTTGATATAAAATGGATGAAGGCTGTCTTTAAATGCATTTGAGAAATATAAAAATATAAAATTAATAGAAATTCCATAATTTAATAATTCCTGCCGTTAAATTAATTTGGTTTCTGTTTAAATTTAAAAAATATATACCTAAGTATTACTCCTTTAAGTGTTTCACATAAAATCTTCAATATTCCAGACCTAAGCTTCATTTGTTTCCTTTTTTTTTAATTTTCTTGGAAATGCTTTCTGGAATTTCTGCTTCCGCCGCCTTAAATTCTCCATCATTTGCATCTGCATTTAATTTTGAACTGTGAATTAAATTTTCTTCGCTTCACTTCGTTTTCTTCCGGCTCGTTACCTCAGATACTGACAGGTGCCGGAGGTCAACTAGCCGAAGGTGAAAGCATTTCCGTTAAATGTTATTTACCCGAAAGCGATTTCAAATGTTTTGCAACGCAGCCACTGCCACAGGATCCCTTGTACAAATGTAGCTTCCTTTCTCCCTGTTTTTCCCCAAGACATTTAACGCTGCAGCCTTTAGTCAGCCACGTTTATTTATTGCAACGCTTTTGACAAACTTAAAACATCTCGGCTAAAACTTTGATCGCACTGGCGATGTGGAAAACCTTAACGGAGCATATCTTGCACATAGAATAAATAAAGGTTTAAGGAACTATAATCTATTAAATTTGCAGTATTAAAATAATTTAACAAATTTCTCTAATACTAAACTAGTTTGAAAATTTCCCAACAAACAATTTTTATGATAATACTTTCCTTAGCTTAAGATTTTTGGGTAATTTTGTTCTATGATCAAAACTCTTCTGTACAAAAATATTTCTTTAGGTGTACGACCCCTCCATAAGCACGTGCCAGCTTTGCTTGAGTCTCCTTTGTCCGCCTCTGCCTCGAGCTGCACCTTGGCTACGGATTCTGTTCGCTGAATGCTTCTTGCCGCTCCTCGCGGCAAATGCAGCGTGACACCCGCGGCTTTTTCACTCACACACCTGTGTATGTGCCCCCTACCCCCCCTCATGTATTGAAATGTGGGTCGCTGGGGCTGGCTGTCAGGTGAACAAAAGGGGAAAGGGGATTTCACCTCAGCGCAACATTTCAAAATTCAATAAAAAATCTTTTGTTTTCGGTACGCGAGCATTGAAAACTTTGAGCCAAGGTTTGTTGGCTTTCCGTGGGGCAACATGACTTACCGCCGCGGCGACTTGCTTCCCAGCCAGCAGCAGCCACGCCCTCTTTTTTGTACTCCGCCTTGC